CCCCAAAACCCCAAAACCCCAAAACCCCATATAAAAGAATAACACTTGATGGTGATAATATATAAATATGAATAAACTAATTCACTTTGAAGAAAACTTATCTGAAGAACTTCTTGATGAGGATGTCTCTGTATCAAGATTAAACATGTCTCCTAACATTGAAAAGAATATGGCTGGGTCTGCATTCCATTCCAGCAATGGCTTCATGAAACTGGATGATAATGAGTCATGCTCAGAGCCTGATTCTGCATGCAAATCTCCATCCTGTGAAAGCAGTACTCTTGAGGTACCTTTAAATGGTCTTTCTTGTTCTAAATCCAAGAAGAATGATAGAGCTCAGCTAGCAAGCTTGAAGGAAGACATTAAAGATCTTTTGCATCAAGCAATAAGATTAAGGAGTCTTCCAAATTACAACAAGAAAGAAAAATATGAGGAAGTTCCAGCTCTACGTCGACTTAATGGAGAAATCACCATGAGAGACATTGAAGCTCCTTAAAGCTTTATCAATATTATCTAATAATTCATTCATAAATAATTTATAATAAACTGTTTTTGTTGGCCATCATTCCTTGCGCCTTATCGATAATCACTCCTAATGATGCTCATCGTTTTCTGGATGGTTAAACTTGGAAATGTCTTAAAATTTTCTAAAATATAATATAACTTTGTCATGAATCACTCTTAAAATATATGCTAGAAATGTTTTATTTCATAATCTTGATGAACAAATAAACAACTTAGGGCTAGAGTTAGCACTCAAGTTACATTGTTTCATAATTTTGTTCAATTAGAACCAATGCTATATTTTGAAACTCCTGCTTGAGTAGATTTATAGGGATTCTGTCAAATTTTTATGGTGATACTTGGTTATTATAAAGCAAACTTTGGTGATGGAGGCTGCTTACTACCCATCCTCTTCAACTAAGGATGAAGCTTTAATGACTATACAACATATTTGACAATATTTTAATACGGAATAAGTTCTTTAGGGCCATATTTCATAAATGCTTGCAATTTTCTATCTCAATAATTTGGCAATTTAATTTCTGAAATAAACTGCCTCAATGGTTTATTTCTACATGGAACCTTGCCCTGAGAGTTCTTGTTATTAATATCTGATTAAATTCTTGAAGAAATCTTATTTAGTTATAATATTGTTCTGAAAGGAACTTATTCTTTTTATTAAAAATCCAAACTTTACTATCTATTTTACTACCAGCTTTGACTGAAAATACGAATCAAAAATTCTTATAATAAGGTTGAGCCTCTTACTTTCCTTTTCCAGGCCAGCAACTTTAAGGAAATAGCTATTTTGCAACAAATTTGTTCAACGAAAGCTAAATTTTATTTTTTCAAGCATCCTATTGAATTTTTCACCATTTCAGGAATTGAAAGTTATGAAAAGGTAAGTTTCACATAACTTTCAAAAAGTAGAAATATTGGCATGATGTATGATGCAAGACGCCTTTCTTAAGCATGTTCAGGATTCTATTAGGTTTTGTGGCTGATTTAGAACTGAACTTATACAAATATATATAGGTAGAAGCTTGAAATTGAGCTAGAATAAATCCGTTACTCAGCTAGTCCATTGCAGCGCTAGCTAATAAATTTAGAGCGAGAATTAATTAATATTCTGAGTTAGCCTTTTCAGGATGGAATATACTAGCACTATTCTGTGCCGAGAGTCTTTAAGATATGTCCAACAGCAAGCGTACTCTTGCATTGATAGCTTAAATTAAGAAGTTGACTAAATAAATTCTATTATATAAGAATAGAGGCATATTCATAAAGTAAATTATGAAATGTTTTCTTCTTCTCCTTTTCTGCAAGCTCTGGTCAAAACTTTTTAATGATTTTGGTTGACTGGAATTTTTTACCTTTTCTAGTAAATAATACATGAGTCTTATATTTAGCTTGATTAGAGGAGGAAAGACTCCAAAATGAAATTACTAGAGATCAATATTTTACAGGTTTGGTGATTAATTTTGATAAGAAATTTTGAAGAATAGTTTCTTATTTTTAACCATGATAACTCCTTTTTAATGCTATGAGTATAACTTGTTCCATTACGATATAGGCTAAGATATAGAGTTAAGAAAAGTAAAACACTGGAGGAAAACTGGAAAGAATTCTTTTAAATTTCAGATTCTCACTGCCTAATTTCCTCATCTCCTCTAAATTCAAGTTCATCAACAGATATAATACTAATATTTATAATGAACAATACAATCTATCCACCGCTTTCGGGGTTTTGGGGTTTTGGGGTTTTGGGGTTTTGGGG